TGTGTGTGTGTGTGTGTGTGTGTAACAATAATGGTGGGTGGCGGGGCCAGACTCCGCCCATAGGGGGCGGGGCATGTGCGGAATAAATGTTTGAGCGGAAAGTCACAACTTCTGTCCCCGTGGACCTAAAGCGCTCAAACTTGGTAGGAGTACAGGCTGCAGCATTGGAACACTTATGGTAAGTGGCGGGACCGGACTCCACCCTCAAGGGGCGGGGATTGCGCGAAAAATCATAAATACACCCCGTGGACCTAGAGCGTCCAAATTTGGTAGGAGCACCCAAGATAGGATGGGAACGCCTATAATGGGTCCCAGGATTGAGCTCCGGACACAGTGGGCGGGGTGTGGGCAGAAATTCATAACTCCTGTCCCTGTGGACCTGGAAAGTTCGAATTTGGTAGGGGTACAGGCGACAGGATGTAAACACTTATGGTTTTTCACAAAACCCCGCCCCTTGTAGGCAGAGTCCGCTCCTGGCACCCACCATAAGTGTTTACATCTTATGGTGGGTGCCAGGAGCGGACTCTGCCTACAAGGGGCGGGGTTTGTGTGAAAACTTGAACTTGGACCTAGAGCGTTCAAATTTGATAGGAGTACAGGCGCCAGGGTGGGAACACTTATGGTGAGTGGAAAGCCGGACTTTGCCCACAATGGGTGAGGTTTGAGCGGAAAATCATAACTCCTTCGGGGTGGGGCTTGCAGAGGAATGTCAAAATGGACCTAGAGCGACCAAACTGGATAGGAATACAGGAGGCAGGATAGGAACCCCCTGATGATAGGTTGCAAAACTAAACCCCCCCCCCCCCCCCCACAAAGGGCTGGGCGTGAATAAATACTGTCAGTTCGGACCCAGACCGTTGAAACTTGAAGGCACAAGGAGCTGGCTGGGAACGTTGATGGTGGCTAACATAGTAGACTCGGCCGCGATGAAATCTCTGAACACTTTTTCTCTCTGAGTAATCGCCTTTGTGATATTATGCGACGTTCAATTCGGACATAGCGAAGATGGCTTACAGAAAAAATCTCTACTAATACTGAGGGTACACAGCTTTTGAAGAAAGAGGAGAATCCGAAGTGTTATTTACGCAGAGCAAATTTCTCACACGAAGTAGGAGCGCCCGGCACAGCCGGGCGGCCCGACTGTTATATGTATAATCCACAAGATTGGTGTGTTTTATGTATGTATGTACAGTAGCGCTCAAAAGTCTTCGGTGAAATTGTTCTCAAGCCGCACTTTTCAGTCGTAACTCCTTTCCTACTGTTTCTAATAATGCGAAATTTCTACATTTGAAGCGTGAGTGTATTGTGAATATTCACCACTATTAATCTGCAATCTGATCATGTTCCAGATAACCTTGAGGGCTTGTTCTCGAAATCGACTACAAATACAGATGATGACCCTTCTTGGAACTCTTTCCTTTTTGTCATGTCTAAAGCGTACGAGCGGTAATGCCGAACACAATGGATGAGAAAAGCGCACATAAGGTGCTAATAAGTGCAGACGTCAACAACTTTAGTTTTAGCAAAATCTGCTACCGCAACAAACACCTTGCTCTATCTGTGGATGTTGCAGCTTTGCAGTTCAATAATGTTGGGTAGGGTGAAATATGCTCTTGTTGAACATATTCAAATTTTGCGCGATTTGGTCTATTAACAAAAAAGTTATGAAAGAAAGAACGTCAAAGCATTTCACCGAAGACTTTTGAGCGCTACTGTATGTATGTACGTATGTATGTATGTATGTATGTATGTATGTATGCATGTATGTATGTATGTATGTAGGTGAAAGGGTGAAAGGTAAGGCAGGAAGACGGAGTCATATTATATCAGATGACGGAACAGCCTGCCCTAACTCCACACTAGGGGTAGGGGTAGTCTACTTACCGTGGGACTTTGTATGGAGACCCACATGAATCGATAGAGTTTTAAATGCTATCCACGAAAATGAATTAAACCTGCTAAATGGTCTTCCTTGAAAAGATATGGGGGCTGGAAATTTGCTTTCAGTAGTATTATTTTGATATGCGAACCCGTCGCCTCAGTATCAAGTGCAGACGTGACATAGTGGTAGTGTTCTCGCTTCATAGGCGTACGGTGCGGGTTTGCTCCCTGCCATTGTCGCATTTTTGCGAAGTGTTTTTTCATTTTATTAAAAACTCTGAACCTTCTCTGGCATTTGTTTATGTGAACGCCTTATTTCTGCTTTCATTTTCACTCGTCATCCCTGTCCAGGTAAAGCGGTTCTGCACGTCAATTATACGAATTTTTTATTCTAAACTTCAAGAAGCATGCAATAAAAAGATACCAGAGATGAGTTAGATGCCAGCAAGAAATTCGACATTGATGGAAAAACTTAAAAGATGCGTGAAGCACACATCTTGTTCGCAAACTGCAGACCTTACACATGCTGACTCTCTACATACGGTGACAAAACAGTCGATCCTCTCAAAACTGAACAAATACTCGGCCGGTGTGACGCAGGAACCTGGGTATTCATCAGTATAACCCGCCTTGTACCAAGAGCATTTTGAAAAATTGGAAAAGCGTGGTGCACAAAACATTCGACATATTTGGGATAGAACCTTAAGTATATCGTCCCTCTGCGTCATATTGAAGTCCGCAGCGTTCAACATAGCTCTAGTTCTAATCCTCTTCATAACATTCTTCATAGGACCGAAGGAAAAGACGTCATGTCATGTGTATTGAACATTTTGAAAGTTTTTCCATCAATGTTGAATTTCTTGCTGGCATCTAACTTATCTCTAGTATCTTTTTATTGCATGTTTTTTGAAGTTTAAATTAAAACAGAGTCGTGCAATTGACGTGCAGAATCACTTTCCCTGGACAGGGGTGACGAGTGAAAATGTAATCAGAAATAAGGCGTTCACCTAAACAAATGTCAGAACAGGTTCAGAGAGTCTTTAATGAAATGAAAAAACACTGCAAAAATTCCGACGATGACGGGGAGCAAACCGCACCGTACGCCTGTGGAGCGAGAATTTTACCACTATGCCACGTCTGCACTTGATACCTACGCGACAAGTTCGCATATCCAAATAATGCTACTGAAAGCAAATTTCCAGCCCCCATGACTTTTCAAGAAAGACCATTTAGCGGTTTTAATCTCCATTTTCGTGAATATCATTTAAAACTATCGATTCATCTGGGTCTCCATTCAAAGCCCCACGGTAAGTAGACTACCCCTCCTTGGTAAGTGCTAACTGAATCTAATCAAAGGCACAGTTCACGAGAATCTCGGGTAACCCAGATTATGATGAAAAATTGAAGACAAGATCGAAAATAGTGCGATGAACATGGAGAAACTGCGTGAATCGATGTTTCCAAAGTGAACAAAGGCTTCGAGAATCTGTTAAAAAATTGGAAAAAAATACATTCATGTGCGTATGTATGTATGTATTCAACATCAAAATCTTCTTCGTTGATTTCAAGAGTATGTATATATGGTTTCACTATGCGAATTCAACATCTCTCTTGTAGATGGCATGTGTTAGTTAAACAACTTGTTTCGAAAATTGTCATGATGGTTCTTAGTTGATTTAGGCTGCAGAAGCTCTTATTAAGTTTTTTTTTCAGAACTTGGCTCATCGACGTAAGGAAGTCACGGGGGGCAGGAGGGTACTGCCAAATCACAACCGACCAACGGCTTTCGTTCAACGACCAAACGCTGCTGTATCTCGATTCATGGCTACTCAGTACACTGCCAATGAAAGCAGGGAAGCATTTCTTGAGGAATCAAGGAACGCTACTTCCGCTTGCACGCAGGGATCGCTCACTGTAGCAGTCAAACCACTTGATGCGACTATAGATGGAGATGTACGTCAAAGGGTCACTGAGGTAAGTGTGTTGAGTAAGATGGTTGACTGTGAAGAGAATATGTGTTTTTGTGCCCTGTTGAGAACCCTATTGAGATCATTTGAAAACAGCTGACGTTAAATGACGAAAACTTTAGGATTAATCGGAACTTTTATTTTCCATTGAAAAGTTATATGACTCTTCGAAAGGTGATTCTGGGTTATGCTATGACAGGGGAAGAACCTTGACGGGTTAGGAGATATAGTTGAGTGTTTAATCATAACGCACGCGCAATGTGATGGCTTCAACAGCTATGCTGCTTCCCTAGTGTTTTTACCGAACTATTACAATCAAGCACTGAATAATGGTGCTTGCACGAGTCTAGCAGTATATTGACTGCGACTTATGAGCAACCTCAATAGAGCTGTCAGTTTTGTTTTCTCTATGAAATGTGTTTTAGGTGGCAATGGTGGAAAGCAGACAGCTTGATAACAGAAAGCAGAAGTACCGCCTTTGGTTGACTAAATTTCACGCGGAGGCGGAGTTCTACTCAAACCATGTTTTCAACGAAGGGCACTTTTTTCAGGGACGATTCTCCATTGGTGGAAAGCGTAAGGTCTCAATTTTGGAACTTATGATGGTATATCTTTTGTGCGCTCACTGATGATGTCTTTTAAGAATAAGTGTCACGAATATCTTCAAGAGATGCCCATTCCCGAAGGGGTTCGAGGATACTTTGACAAGGAGGCGGGAGAGTTGGAAGTTTGTCATAAGTTTCTTCGATTTCTCAGTATTTCTTATTTTGAAAATGTAGTCAACTAGTTTGAAGCAGTTTATGATCAAGGGAAAAGTTCTGTCGAAATTATTTGTTTCTGTTTCTTTCTTTATTATGGAATGCGAACTAGCTAATAATATCATCTTTGTAGGTGACCAGAGTGGTCCACATTTTGAACATGTCAGCTATCCCCTTCTCTCATAATTGGAATTCGAAAATGTTCACCCCTTAATAAAATATCTTAATATATCTTAAATATCAAACCTGGTTGAAGCTTTTAAGCTATGATATCTTAAAAGAGCTGAGATACTATTGATCTGAAAGGACTACATTAGGCTACTATAGGAAGGGGAGGAGGGTGGCTCAGTGACCCAGGGCTAATACTACCCTAACAGTTTCATCAATTCTGTCGAATTTTTTGTCGGAGAAGTTTGATTAACATATGGTGCTTGAACCGCTGGAGGCATTTGGAATCTTTCGAGTCAGCACTTTTCGGTACCCAAGAGAAACGAAGATGGCGACGACTATCGAACATATTCCTGCTCTGAGTCCTCCTCGACAGCGAAGGGAGCGTTTAAGTGTACGATCTCCGAAGGTCTTTCCAAGGTTGATCCCGAAAACGGCGGAGATCATCTTCTTTCAATCGAGCTAACCACTGATGTTAGGGGCGAACGTAGTTGGTGCGGTTGACGTCGGGCGGTGGATTGCCGTGGTGCCACTCGTAGAATACAATGTTGAGTCGAAATTGGTCTTCTTGACGTGGCACATTGGCAAAGGTACTGGAAAGATAACACATCATCCATCTTGGATATCGATCTGTCATCAAAACTTTTAGCCCTCCTAAAATCGGCGACAAAAATTTCCCACAACCTAACTTGTGGTATTTCATCGGCTTTGTGATGAACCTATTCATTGATTGCGGCGCAATGATATGAAGCGCTGCTTCTACACGTACGAGCATGTCATATGTTACCAGATTTTATGGCTTCTGCTGAAAAAATGAACAAGAACACTTCGCTGATTTTATATAAAGGTGATATTATTTTGAAAAGATTGATGTTACAAGCTCTTCACGTGTTAATCTTATGAAATTTTAATGTATTTTCACATCTCATTAATGCCTGATCCAATGAGACCTTTGAAGTACCACCTCCCTACTTGCGCAGCATGCTGTCTACTCGATTGATTTGGATTTTGATGCCATTGAGAGTACGAGTTGAACAGGCTGATTGATCGAATGAATTCCTTGAGTTCTGTTCAAACTTCAGGAATTTCACTTTGTGCGAACGTGTTGACATTTTTTCGCACCTGGTTAGGATAACGGGGGACTTAGCGAGCTATTTCTCGGGTAACACGCACGCAACGATCGTGAACAGTGTAGAGGTAAAAGTAGCAGATGTTTGTCTTCCTCAGAGAGATAAGGGAGGATCATCCTAAATGAACACTTTTACTGCACCTCTGCAGAGATTCTCGAAGCGGTTTTCCCGATCATAGAATCCAGAGCCCAGCTATCTTCAAAGCCGTTTTCCGGTGATGGAACCCACAGAGTAACTCTCTGATAGCCTAATACGTTTTTGGACCGTCTCGGTCGTTGTTTCATCCATCTGCTTTATCAGGTGGTGGGCTCTGGGGCGTTGCCCTGTCTCATGTGAACAACTTTTTCTGATTTTAGATTGCATTTCTTTTTCGGCACTTGCTTGTGCAAGCCTATACTTTGTACTTACAGTTGCACGTCGAAGCAATGCATAAAAATCGTAAGAACGGCGCCTGTTATGAAGTATATCATGAGGTTCTTGGATATGTGGTACGTTCCTATCAACTTGCTCTGATATATTTATCATCAACCATAATTTTCCAGCGTGACAGTCACAACCTCTTGAGACAGGTCGATGAGCCCACACTTGTGGCCATAGCTGCCAGGAGGCTGCCTTGTGCTGCGGAAAGTGGACGACTTGTATGGCAAATCCATAAATTGGGTTTTCCATCCACAGCGGCTTAACTTTTTATCTGCTAAGTATTACCATTGTGTGATGTTCTATAACAATGCGGGTGCGCATACCTTTATTCGATGGGTGAATTCTGCGGTCATGGTGCTTATACTGCGTGCTTATACCTGAATCAAGCGAAGGGGTGTTGTAGTATTAGCGATTCTAGGTGAGACCACTCATTAAAATAGTTGTAATAGAAATACGTTATATTTCGTGAAATCGATTTTAGTCATCAATCAATCCTCTCTTTGTAGAATCGTAATCAGAGGGAGCAGCTGCTGCTGACTCTCGATTTTCGAAGATTTTTTGGTCCAAATACGCATTCAAACTCTGCTGTTATCATGGTGTCACAAGAAATGACTCTATGACTTACTCCCGTTCCACTCCTGTTAGAATTTACTTTTATTTCCTCCTCCCCCTCTATATCTATTTCTCTATATCTTTTTAAATCGTAAAATGTGTTCAGGGTTCAGGAATATAAGGGGGAAGGGGGATGGGGCATCAAAAGTTTAGGAAGAACACAATCATCTCCTCAATGGACGAATATTCGATCGCGGTTCCCTTTTTCATTCTTCCGCTAAATGAAGTTTCCACGTTAGTCTAGGTTTTTGACTTTGACGAATAAAATGGAGATCTCAACAAGCACTCCAGTTAGAGCAAAGCAAAAAATTTATAAACCTTCTGAACCTAGAGCTTTTGTCTGTCTATCAGTCGGAATTCTGCATCAAAATTGCGTTAGTTCATTTTAAGAGAAGGAGCAATTGTATCTTTCAGGGTCAGCGACCGCTCTGCATTTCAGTCTTTTTTACTGCTTCCGACAGCTATTTTTACGCAAAATCATGAAAAATGCTGCAGAACAGCTGTCGGTCAATGTAACATTCTCGGCATCTAACTTATTTTGTTTTTGTTAACGTTTTACGTGTGAGTGCTGAGAAGCTATGGCATAAAGTCATTAAGAAGGCGAGGATAAGCGGGCTTTTGGTAGTGTGAGGGATAAGTGCTCAGTGCCAAGGTGGCCAAGTACGGGTTCGAGTCCCGTGCAGATTTGTCAATAACACGCCAACTTTGCGAGGTTCTTGATATTGTCACATACAGATAACGAATGTAGGGCAGGAGCGTTTTTTAGTACAGTCTGGATAAATGTCTTTCTAAGAAAAAAATCAAGTAGGAATTACCAAATAGAAACACAAAATATAACTTCTACTGACAATTGCTACTCTGTGACATTCTGAAAGTTCTCACATTTGTTACGAGCCTATTTGAAAGGTTCTCCCACTTGGGCCCGGCTAGCTGCGCCACATCCCATTTGTTAGGTCAAGGGATTCATCGAAATCATTCGTATTTCTCTAACACCGCCTATTTCTTTGATAGAGTATGTTATGTTTCATAGAAAAGTTACAATAAGGTGCAGGCCAGCTCACTTGCTATCAAGTTCGGTTTAGGTACCACGTAGAGTTTACCAGGCGAAATCACTTATTACAAGTGAAGACTCTGGTGCAATGTAGGCCTTGACGACCTTTTGTTTCAATTTGTGGCCATGATATCCGCACGAGTTGTGCGTTTACTGATTAGCTTAAAGGCACTGTTAACAAAAACATTGTTTCGGACATTTGCACATAGTTTGAATTCGACGCCCCCTCTGATACCATTTGTGCAGGAATGAGGTCGGAAAACGGCTGAAT